GGAGTATTTTCTCTCACCGACTTCCAGGAAAAGGTCCAGAGGCAGGCACAGACAAACAGCGCACTTTATACCAGGCTCTAGAAGGAACTGTGTGGAGTGCCTGAACCAAGCAATGCAGTTACAGAGCACTGGCATGTAAATGTTAACAATAATCTTTTTTATTTTTCCAAACCATTGGATCATATGCTCCCTCTTCTCTTCAGCTGTAGGACCAAGATCCTTGAGCCCTCCTCCTGAGTCTCTGCAACCTGTGCTGTCCACTGCAAGAATAACAGGGAAGAGCTTCTGCACTCCGCATTGGATGTACCTAAAAAATCAGCTAAATATCTTCCTTTTTGTTTCTCCAGGTCGAAAAGCTCCAGACAGTTACTTTTTACTTTGTGCTGAACCTGGTAGGTCCCTCACGAGTGTTTCTCTCCTGTGATGCGCAGCACGATGGCTGGTGCTGAGCCTGGCACTCATTTCTCTCCCACAACTTCTTCCCCCAGGAGTGGAAAAACATTTTTGCAACTTGGGACCCACGGGATTTCTGTAACATTTCCAAAGTTGTTCTGCCCATGGATACTTATTGGTCTCCCCCCATCTTCATTTTAGAGCGGTAGGTTCCCCTTTCATTTTTATCCACTGGCTTAAGAGAAATACAATGCATGCAAACTGTTGGTATCGTTGTAGGAAATGGGATAAACTCATATGGTTAAAGTTGTTCCCATGAGCTCTCTGTAACCAAGAAACTTGTAATTTAGACTAACGGTGACCACAGTTTATACAAAGCACTTCGTGGCTCTGTGATACTGTAACATCTGCAGAAATGTCCCATCTGGGCTGTAGTTAAAGCTGAGGAAGCATCAGAGACCAGCAATGTTGCGGAATGGAATGACCCTTAGCAGTTTGCTGTAAGACAAACCAACCATCTCGCGTGTGAGTCCAGCTACCACAAACGCTAGCCCGGAGGCACTCACCAGCCCTTCTTCAAGCCCCAGTTTTCCTCTCCTCACTACTACCTCCCACGGCTGGGTGACAGTGCAGAGGCCCCCCAGAAGGATGCTTACAGCCCAGGCTTTTGTGGGATTGAGGAGTATTGCAGCTCAGTTGTTCTCCACTTTTGTTTCCTCCAGAGTGAATGGACAAAACTCAAACTTGGATTACGTGGCCATCACGCACAATGGCAGCTTCAACTCCACCCAGCCTTTCCAGGTTACCTTAACGTGCAGCTTGATAATCCTCAAGTTTCCCTTTGACACGCAGATGTGCAACTTGAGCATAGCTTCATTTCCCTACCCAGGTACAGCGGCAAGCTGAGTTTCATCACAGCTGAGCTAAATTTGCAGAAGGAGGGATAGATGAGAAGGACTCTGGCTAACGCCTGGGTTCTCTTAGCAGCACCACACGCTCACACTTGGTTAGTGAGCTGGAGGTCATGTAACACCAGGGAAAACAAGCTAAAACTCTGTCATTCTGTTTTGGCATGTTTCCCAGCAACACCTCTGGAAGCATCTGGGTGTTCTGTGACAAGGTCCCCCCCACCCCCAGGACAAGGCTACAAAACCAAGAGACAGGTAGATGTGGCACTTTGGGACATGGTTTAGTCCAGTCTACCCTTGATTGGCTTAGAGTAGACTTGGTAGTGTAGGTTAATGGTTGGACTGGATGATCTTAAAGGTCTTTTCCAACCTAAACGATTCTATGATTCTATGACTAGCAGGCTTCTAGCAACAAGGCTACTTGTTCACATATGATTTTGCAGGACTGATCTTTAAACATACCTGAAAGTCATGCAAATGAGAGGAAATTAAGGACAGTTTCAGGGATCCAAACTTGCAGTCAGAGTTCACCCCAACAGGAAAGGTTGAAAAATAAGCAGAGGCAACGCAAAATCCTCCAGCTCCCATCTGCAAAGGACAACTGTCCTAATTCACCAGAGGTTTCCCCTCTGATCCACATTCCCAGAGGTCCAGCCAAGTCTCTTCACCAGACTCCTTTTTAATTTCTCCCTGATGGGCTAAGAAACCCCAGCAGTGCGAGAAATGTTGCCTTTCCCCATCTGCATGCGCTCTTGGTTGGGAGGGAAATGGAGAGGAAATAACTGACCTCTAATAAATGTCTAGGTCTTGCAACTTCTCTCCTCTTCTCCCTCCTGCCTAAGCAGTAACAGACCTTGTCATGAAGACAAGACGGACACGAGCTGAGATGATGAAAGACAGCCAGAGTTACTTCCTAACTGATGGAGAATGGAAGTTCACCAACCTGAGCATCATTGAACGCATAGAAGAGCTGGATGACGGAGAATTTTCTGTGGTCACCTATGTGGTACGGCAGTACTTTCATATTATATTGCACTGATTTGCCACCAAAACAAAGTAAGAAACAAGATAATTTTCTACATTAGGGAACAAGCATTTGCCCAACACAGTAAGTTATCTCCTGCTCACCGACATTTTGTCCATCTTCTTCAACAGATTTCCATGGAGAGACGACCCACTCTGTATATTTTGAACCTGATCCTCCCAACGTGCGCCCTGTATCTGCTGGATATGGCTGTGTTGTTTGGACCCAGCTCTCTCGAGGAGAAAATAAATTTCCAGATTGCCATCATCCTCGGCAGCTCCATGTTAGCTGTGATTCTCAACGACATCCTTCCAACTTCCTCTGACAAACCACCCGTAATAGGTACCCATCTTTATTGAATAAAAACTAACTGATTTTTACACAAGTACCAACTCAAAGGGAGGTCTTTGGGCATTTATGGACATGTTCGTGAACACTGCAGTCATGAACAGCTAAGCTTTATCAGCTTGCTGGAGTCAGAAATTTCCTCCTCTTCCCCACCAGGCAACTGAATGCAGATAGGATTACAGATTCAAGAAAACGATGCCAATTATCAAGGGCTTTCTTTGTTTTCATATTGTTCCACAGTGGTATTCTTCTTAGGCACCTTCCTGCTCATGATCATGGCTGTGTTAGACACCTTCTTCCTGTTGCACCAGCACCACAAATCCCTACGCTCAGACAAGGTTCTCGGAAGCTTCCAGCAAGGTAAAGCCTTCCATAACCTCTTAAAAGAAGTAGGTCAGGTTACCTGCATTTTACTGCAGGTTCCTCTGAACGAGGGTGGATTCCCTCAGGGCAACCAGTGCCCCAGACAGCATCAGCCATGGTGGTCACCCACCACCCCCCTATACTGACACTGCTATTTGCTCTTTGCAGATGTGCACGCTGAGCTGGCGACGAGAGCCATGAACAGCCAGACCACGAAACACCTCGCCAAGGCAGGGGCCCAACTGGTGAACCTTCCCAAGGTGGCCCAGGAAAAAGGGCAGCCAGACGAGCCCCACTGGCAGCCACAGGAGCACGACCTATTTTGGCCAGTTCTGGGGAAGGTGCTTCTCTACAGTCACTTCTTCCTGTCCCTAGGTTTTTTTGCTATTGTTTCTATAAAATGGAGCAGCTAGAGCCCAGCTGGAGACCAGCTCTGCACACTGCTCCTTCAGTCTTTCTCCACTGTATTGCTTCTAACCCCTCCACTGTAACTTTTTTTTCCTGCTTGATTCATAGAGCTGCAGTTGTTTCAGTTGCCTAGATAAAATAAAAAGAAAAAAACACAAGGCATGAGATCTGCCTGCTTAGTACTCTAGTTCAGTAGAACTACATATGTTCTTGAAGTATTCTGTGGGCTAGCAAGGTATTTGAATAAAACAATTGTGAAGTCAGGGGATAATACCTTCATTTTATCCGTCTGTAATTCTTACCACTAACACAACCGTCAGAAAAGGGAGTTAATGCAGTCCTTCTCTATCCTGGTTTTGGTTGGGATAGGGTTAATTTTCTTCCTAGTAGCTGGCATAGTGCTGTGTTTTGGATTTAGAGAATAACCTTGATAACACACTGATGTTGTAGTTGCTGCTAAGTAGTGCTTACTCTAGTCAAGGACTTTTCAGCTTCCCATGCTCTGCCAGGTGCACAAGAAGCTGGGAGGGGGCACGGCCAGGACAGTTGATCCAAACTGCCCAAAGGGCTATTCCATACCATGTGACGTCATGCTCAGTATAGAAACTGGGGGGCCAGGGGGCAGCAATCGCTGCTCGGGGACTGGCTGGGTATCGGTCAGCAGGTGGGGAGCAATTGCATTGTGCATCACTTGCTTTGTATATTATCATTATTTTCCCTTCCTTTCCTGTCCTATTAAACTGTCTTTATGTCAAGTATGAATTTTACTCTTTTTTTTTTTCCGATTCTCTCCCCCATCCCACTGAGGAGGGGGAGAGTGAGCGAACAGCTGTGTGGTGTTTAGCTGCCTGCCGGGTTAAACCACAACATTCTCCTATGGAGATGTTTCCATTTGGGGAAAGGTGTTTAAGAATTCCACCTCAGATAATTAAATAAAACAATTCCAAGTTAGAAGCGTTTGTACTCACATCGTTTCTGTGAGTTTCAGCAAGATCCACATCATTCAGAAAACCAGGACAGAGAGAATAATAGGATCACCAGGATTAATGGGGTGATACTTGGGATGTTTTAAAAAAATAAAAAACTAACTTTAATTATTCCTTTAAAATGTATCTCAACACATCTACACTCCTTTTGCAATTGGCTGCACCTAAACCATCACAAGCAACCTAGAAAACAGCCCTAGACCTCTGCCTGTAGAACTAGTGAGACTTATCTCCCACTACATCGCAGATCACTACTAAATACACACCAGCAGCAAAAAAAGGCTTTATAAGTTCAACTTCTTGGCAACTATTTGCCTGCAATAGCAGAACAACTACATTCCCCGCACCATGTGCTTACGGAGGTGAACAGACAGTTTATCTGCGTTACAGAAGATGCAACAGGACTCAGTTTTATCAATAGGTCTAGCTGGGATCTTGGTCCTAGCTCAAAAACAAGCTCATAGGTAGAAAAAACAAAATCCAGGAGAACCGGGCTATTTGCAAGTTAGTGTATTGTTCCACAATTCTTAAAATCTTGCAACCTCATGTCTAAGATCTAAGCCACAAACTGGAGGGAAAGCACTTTATTTAAAAGACCATAGAGTCTGACAGTCGTTAGACAAACTGCTTCTAGACAAGTTTACAGATCAGCAATTGGTTTGTGGGGCCAGTAGGGATATTTCTCCTTGTCCAGTTTGGTTTCAGGGAAGGCTTCATGCAAGTCTTCAAATGTCATCTGTTCAAAGGGAATCATGCTTCTGAGCTTCTGAAGCTTTAAGTGGGAACAGAGACAAACACGTTATAAATCACTTGTCAGCAAGAAAAGAGCAAAGCACACACAAGCAAGAACAAGGTGTGTGCCAGGCTGGCTTAAAGAGAATATCCACTAAGCAAAGTCCAGACTTACTTGTTGCTCACACTGGACAATACGAGCTTTGGAAGCCTGCACATATTCAGCAGTGCTCTTTGCCTGCAGGAAAGCAGAGGATGTGGTGAATATGGTTATGATAAAGACAGTGACCTAGAGCGAACCTGCAACCCCATGCTTTAAGCTGGCATTAAAGTTCATCATCATTACACTAGATAAGCGGACAGAATCTTGATCAAATCCCAAATAGCCAAACCTTTCCACATGCAGAGATCCTCTTGCTTAGCCAAAAGCCAGAGACACATGCAAAGACCAGAGCCTTGCTCTAGCTCAGGCTGCCCTGCCTGTGCAGATGCACGTACAGAACATCCCTTCTCATCTTCACAGAAGTCAGACACAACCCTGGCATTAAGGAACAATTTAAACACTCACAGCTTCCCGCTCTTGGGCATCAATTTTGGCAGTTTGTGTATCCACTGGCTCGGGAACCTTCAGTGCACTGAACTGTAAATTGAAACAGAAAATTTTTTATATGGTTTATTTGACTGAAATAATCCTTCACACCAAAGTCATTTTCCCTCGCAGCAGGGGAGCATTCCCTCCTTTCTTCCAGGATATGCTCACAGCAGTATAAGGTAACGAGCTTTCGAAAACCGATCACTGCAGCTTGACTGTGTCCTTCACGAGCAGCACTTCTCACCTGTGAGCTCAAAGCAATCTGTTCTGCACTGCATACCACCACCAGGACATGTAATAGCACACACATTCATCACAGCACTGCAGAGAGCAAAGCACAGCACTGTAAGGAAGCAAGGAAGTCTAACACCGAAGGCTTGTATCACAGACTTATTTCCCCCAAGACAAAGTTCCCAGATGATTCTATGATCCATCCGAGGTCAGTGGGTCCTCCCAGTCCTGGGACGTCAATTGTCATAGTGCCAGGGGCACTGCGCGTCCTTCAGCAAAAGCCTCGCTCATGCTTTTCAATTCCTGCTTATACAGCGGATGGCAACCCCTGCAGGCATCCGCTAGCTCTGCACATTTCACAGTGTGCAGAGCCACACTCACCATCTTCTTCCATTCAGTGAGCTAGAGAAATACTTTGAACGTTTGCTTCAGGAGAGGCACTACCCAAATTCACTCCTGCAGCCAAAATAATTTATCAAGCTTTCTTTCACCAACTTTCTCACCATACAGCGCCACCAGTTTCCTCCTGAAAGATGGCACTGAGGTGACCTCCTCGAGGTTAGCGACACTGATCTGCAGTATGTAAAGCTGGGGCATCTGCTAGCCAAAACCAACCTCCTCTGCCAATTCTGGTGTTTTCCTCTCAACACCAAAGACGTTCCCCATTTAAACCTCCAAGAAGAACAATACTCAGCCAGCAAAGAGACCGACCTTCTGCTGAAACTCATCCACCATGCCAGGTTTAGCAACAGCAGCCTTGTAGTGAGCCCAGTCGATCGCCGGGGGTTTCTCTGGCAGGGCGGCCAACCTGAAGAGACGGAGGACAGCTGTCACAACCAGTGCTACAAGTAACCCCGTGCTATCATTTGCTCTCTGCCACAGTTACTTTCCAGAGAGTCAACAGAGCCTGCTAAGTTTAGTACAAATATTTCCAGGTACATCATTAACAAGCAGTGATGAACCATTTCTGCAAATCTCTCTGCTCTTGAAACAGACTTTGCTACACAGACAAGAAGAGTTCAGCCTGCAGCCCTGCTCCACTTTGAACTACTATACAGCATCTCTGGGTGCAGCCCTGTAAGAAAAGTTTTCACAACACTGAGCTAGAGGCAATCAGCAATATTAACTGTAATAGCCAACGACACTTCTATCAAGCAGTGAATGCTGAAGCATTTGAGAGGGCTCATGAATTTGTACAGCATTTAATGGAATAACAAAGCTTGCAAAATGTTTTGAACATGCCAAAGCAAACTGCTTTCACAGAACTGCTTTTTTATGTTGCAACTATTGTTTTACTCTGGAGAGAATTAAGTAAAGACAATTTACAAAAAAAAAAAAAGCCACCAGCTGTCTTGAAGGTGACCTGTTTTAATGCCTGTCAGGACACTCCTGCAAGACCAC